TTTTTTTTTCAGCTTTCAGTCTCGTCCACACAAGAGAGCAAATGCTGAGGCCCGCGTGCCCACCAGTGGGCGCTACCACTCAGGGGAGGTGGTTATTAGGCTTTTCTATGATCTGTTTCTGTAATCAAAGAATCATGCACCACAACCTAGTGGGATTTATTCCCAAAATGCAGACATGGTTTCATATTCAACAGTCAGTCATTGTAGCATACCATATCAGCAGGAAAAAAGGAAGAGGACCGTATGATCATTTCTATGGACCCAGAAAGAGCATTTGATAAAATCTCTTTCTTGATGAAAACCCTAAGAAATAATGGACTAGAAGGGAAACTCAATATGATGCAAGGCATGTATGGAAAGCCAACACTCTTCTTCACCAGGGAGACCCGAAAACTTACCATGGAAATTGGAAGCAAGACAAGGGTACCCTCTCACCACTTTATTTAATATAATACTGCATTAGCACTGACTAGACCAATAAGACAAGAAAAAGAAATTAAAGATATCCAGGTTGGAGAAGAAGTAAAACTAACTCTGTTCACAGACGAAATCATCCTGAATATCTAAAATCCCCAAAAGTCCATAAGAAAACTTTTAGCACTGATAAAAGGATTTAGCAAAGTTGCAGGGTGCAAGATCAGCGAACAGACAAATCAGATGCGTTTCTGTCCTCTAACGTTGAGGAGTCGGAAGGGAGGGTAGGGAACAGTTCCAGCTACAGCACCTAAGAGAGTGAAATAACCAGGAAGGAGTAGGTCTAACCCAGGGTGGGAAGGACGACCTCAGGAAAGCTGAAGCATGCTGAAGGGGATCGAACAAGACCTGAAGAAGTAGAAAGATGTTCCCTGCTCATGGGTTGGAGAGCTTAATGCGGTTAAGATGTCATTATCCCCAAAGTGATCTCTAAATTCCATGGAACCCTGATCAGAATTTCAATAGCATTCTTTACAGAAACAAGAAAACCAATCCTCAACTTTAGATGGGAAAACAAGAGGCTCCAAGTAACGAAAGCAGGGCTGAAAATGAAGGGAGAACGTCAGAGCGCTCACGGGATCTGATTTCAAGACATCGTTACAAATGCGGAAAGCACAACCGCTTGTTCCTGGTATCACAGTGGACTCATAGACCAGTGGGATTGAATTGAGAACGCAGAAAGAAACTCATACGTCCATGGTCAACAGATTTAGGACAAGGCTGCTAAGTCCATTCAATGGAGAACGAGGAGTCTCTTCAATAAATTCTGGGAAATTTTAATTTCCTTCTGTGGGAAAAATGAAACAGGATCCTTGCCTCACACCATATGTTCATATGCACAAGAATTCAGAACGAATTAAGTATCGAACAGTGCAAAACAAAACCACAGAATTCTTCGAGGAGCAAGCAGAAAACAGCATTAGGCTTAGTTTTCAACAATAGAGTAGCTAATGTGACGCGAGCACAAACAGGGAAAGACCTCACTAAAATGTGTAACTTTCATTAAACCGAAAACTTTACCAAAAAAGTGAAAAGACAAACTAGTGACTGTGTGAATCTCACTATCAAAGTACATGAACCATGTTTTTCTTTTCTTTTTTCTCTTCTTTTGAAAATCATCTTATTGGGGGCTACTACAGCTCTTATCACAATCCATACATCCATCAATTGTGTAAAGCACATTTGTACATTCATTGCCCTCATCATTCTCAAAGCATTTGCTCTCCACTTAAGCCCCTGGCATCAGCTCTTCATTTTTGCACCTCTCTCCCCGCTCCCCTCCCTCATGAATCCTTGATAATTTATAAATTATTATTTTGTCATATCTTGCCCTGTCCGACATCTCCCTTCACCCACTTTTCTGTTGTCCGTCCCCCACGGAAGAGGTTATATGTAGATCCTTGTAATCGGTTCCCCCTTTCCATCCAACCCTCCCTCCATCCTCCCCGTATGACCACTCTCACCACTGGTCCTGAAGGGATCATCTGTCCTGGATTCCCTGTGTTTCCAGTTCTTATCTGTACCAGTGTACATCCTCTGGTCTAACCCGATTTATAAGGTAGAATTGGCATCATGATAGTGGGGGAAAGGAAGCATTAGAGAACCAAAGGAAATTTGTATGTTTCATCATTGCTACACTGCACCCTGACTGGCTCATCTCCTCCCCGAGACCACCCGTCTGTAAGGGGATGTTCAGTTGCTTTTTTTTTTTTTTTACAAATAACACCTTTTGTTTATATTTGCCAACCACATTCTCTCACTGTGAAGTATTTTTGTAAATATGCCAATTATTATTTCTGCAGTTAGCATAGTGTATTTACAAAAATACCTCCTAAGACATGGAGCAGTCAACAAATAAACAAAGACAACACATGCTATTTGAAAAAAAATACAGTACATTTCTGTAACTTCACAATAAGTAGATGAATAACCCAATCTTAAATAGACAACAGATTTGACTGGACATCTAGATGACTACCAAACACGTGCACAGGTGCTCAGAGTCTAGTCATCATGGAGATAGAGATAAAAACACTATGAGATACCATTCTACTTCCATTAAGGTGTGTTAAGGTTAAAAAAAAAACAAACTAGAAAATAGCAAATGTTGGCGAGAATGTGAGGAAATTGAAACCTTACCTATTGTTGGTGGGAATACAAAATGGTGCAGTTGTTGTGGAAAAATGTCTATGGTAATCTTCAGAGGAACTAAAAATAGAACTACCTTCAAGCCCATTACAATTGAGTGAATTTCAACTTACAGGAATTACCATATGACCCAGCCATTCCTCTCCTAGGTATATAGTCCAGAGACTTCAAAGCAGAGAGTCAGAAAGAAACCCGTCCCCCAGTGTTCGTCGCAGCATTGTTCATGACAGCCAGTAGGTGGGGAAACCCACATGACTATCAACAGACCCATGATTGAGCAAACTGGTAATACACGCATTAGAATCCTGCTCAGTCTGCAAGCGTGACGTCTTGGTACGTGCTTCGCTATGGAAGTTTGAAGACATGCTGTACAAAGTAAGCTAGTCACAGAATGACACACATTGTGTGGTCTCACTTACTAGACAAGAAAAGACAGAGACAGAAGCTTATTCGTGATGATCCGAGACAGGAAGGAAGAGGAAAGGGCAGGCTAATGGTGAGAGAACAATCACCGGTTAAGAGCAGAGTTGCAGAGCTGTCAGTAAAGTGCCTTTGTCAGTGGTTGCACACCTGTAAAAAGTTGAACTGCCAAATGAAAAAAGACTAGCTGCTGAGCCGGCGTTGTATAAAGAAAGGCTTGATGGCATTGAGTCTCTTGATTTGGAGGCTTAGAATTTTAAAAATCATGGAACATCTTAGTTAATTGGTCTTGTGATACATTTAGTACTTCTGTTGTACCTCCTAGTTTTTGTGTAGCATTTGGAGCCTGAAAAGCTGGCAAGCAGCCACCTACGGCACAGCAGTAAGGATCTATTACCTGAAACAGCAGAGAGGGAAGGAAGGGAAGCACCGAACAAAGACCTAGAACTAGTGGCTAATTGTCTTCAGGCGCAACTGCCTCTGAGCCCATGAGACCAGAAGAGCTGGCTAGTGCCCAACTACCTTTATGGAAAATTTTGCTCAAAGATTGTATACAAGAATTCTGATCAAATAGGGGGAAATGCCAAAAATTCTGGAGCCATGGAAAGTGGGTTGAGCCCTTCTAACTTTTGCCTTGAGGTCATCTTCAGACCTTAAAGCAAAATCCCCTGCAGTCACCTTAAAATTAAATAATAATTTAGCTTAACGAGTTTAAAAAAATGCCTACCTTAAGCATTATACTCTTTTAACATCTATACAGGATCAGTTTGACAACACCAAATTGGACAGGAACCAGAAAGGGGGAAAGCAGCTCAGAGGGGAGGGTGGGAACGGTTGGCCCCCTGGAAGACTTTCGGCAGTGTCATTAGCTCCTGTTTGTGGGAACTGTTGCTTTGGACCAGCTTGTGCTGTGATTCTTCTCAACAGCAACAATAATAAAATTTAGGGGGAAGAAACAACAGAAAAGCTAGTAGAAGTTAATAGACATTAACTCAATGTACATCTGCATCGATGTGGCACTGTTGCGTGATTTGAGGACTCTCCGAGGTTTACCTTAACGGAAGATGTGTTGCTTCTCACATCCACTTCCATATTCGAATTGTTGTGCTGGCAGAGACGTCAGGGAGCCTCTGAAGAACTCCACTGTGCACTCCCGAACGAATGGAATTCTTGCTGGTGCTCTGAAAATAAATTTTGACCCAGTAAACGTTTCCGAGAGCACAGTTCTCCAGGCACAGTTTGAAAATGCTGAACTAGTAAGTCGGGGCTTGAGCATGTCACCTCTGCCCCATAAAAGAAGTCAGCTGACAAACTGTTACGGGTTTGAAACGCCCGCTATCCATCCTGCTTGATTATTGCCATTATTAAGGTGGCCTGGTTGCACGGGAGTTAATGCTGCTAAACCAGCTGTAGCAGCTGCTAACCCAAAGGTCATCAGTTTGAACCCATTAGCCACTTTTGGCAGGAGAAAACTGTGGCGTTCTGCTCTGGGAAGATGAGCACCTTGATGAAACCGTATGGACACTTGTACTCTTTCTTTGTGGTCTCTGAGTTAGAATCAGTTGGACAGCAACGGGTGTGATTTTGACTTTTAAGACTGATCAGACATTTAAAAAATATGTTGAAAAAGCATATGTTTAGAGTTTTGGGACGCCAGGGCTCACTGACATAACGTAGTTACATCATAGACAAATATTGTTCATGCTACTCTGGCCGGAAGTGACTGAGGTCTTAAAAAACTCATTAAGGTACAACTGTTGGTTTCTCTACATCTGGAGGAGAGAAAAATGAAGAAAATTGAAAGATATATAGAAATATTTAATACAGTGAACTAATTATCAGGCAAACAAACACCAGCCTTCACAACCCAGAGACCAGAAGAACTAGATGATGCCCTGATATCACTACTTATTACTCTGAAAAGGATCGCCCACATTAGAAGGTCCTAGATAGAGAGAGATGGAGCTGTGGAACAAAACCCCAGATCATGAAAGAGACCAGACTTACTGGTCAGATAGAGACTGATGGAATTCTCAAGACAATGACCCTTAGTCACCCTTTAGGTCTGGAACTCAACTCAGCCCTGTTAGAAGACTCCACTCTTTAACATGAAAGAGTAGCATTTATCCAAGGACAGAGCTCAGAGGATGAGGAATGAGTACCGAATGAAAACAGGCCACCAGGAGCAAGTGGGACAAGTGATAGTACCTTGAGGGGACTGTAGTGGATGAGTTGAAACAAATGGGTGTGAATTGTTGAATGTATGGTCCACTCTGTATTCCGTCACCTAATTCACAGTAAAGTTTACAAATTAATAAGATGCGTACGATTGACTCTTCACCTCACAAACAGCACTAAGCGACCATGTGTCGGGTGCTTGCTCTCTGCCGGCCTTTGGGTAGAGACATCAGAAGAGGTCAGTGCTGGACTGTTTCTAACGGGGACCCAGAACAATGTGGGGCTCTTGCCTGAGAGTTCAGTGAGTTGGAATCAGTGTGCACTTGACCTAGCTGTTGCCTCCTTGGCCTTGAGTGGTCTTTATCGCCCATCGCCCTTCTCAGTTCTTAACTGAGTCCTCTGCTCCTCTGTGCTCCACCACAGCGCTCCTCACACTGTGAGATCGTGTTGACTGCCCCTCCCTACACAGGGCATCCTTGCATTCAGAGTCAGAAACCTGCTCTGCTCTGTATTTCCAGTGCCTGCCTGGACCATAAGGGGCATGTAGGAGTAGGTTATGTAAATGTGTGTTGGGGAGGGGGTTGGGGGCGGGCGAGGCTATAGCTGGTTCTTGGGAAGTTAAATTCAGTTGTCAGAGGCAAGGTTTGGAAGGTGGGGGGCTCAGAGGTAGCTTTTTGATAGAGAAGATGCAATGGAACATCGGTGCATGCTGTTACCATGTGCTGTTTGTCCCCCTCTTGTGTTTAAGAAGGAAGGAGACGGGAATCACACTGGCCTAGTTCACTGTCTAGAACTGAATGTCTCACAGTCAACTTGGTGCTTAACCCACCTTCTGGGCAAAGCCATGGGTCATCAAAAATTGCGAATGTGGTGTAAGTACTTTCCCTCTAAGGCAATCCTACTTATTAAACTTTTCCTCCCTGTTACAGATATTAAAAAATATTACTTGGTATTCAGAACGGGTTTTAACCGAGATCTCGTTGGGGAGTCTCCTGATACTGGTCGTAATAAGAACCATTCAGTACAACATGACCAGGACAAGAGTAAGTGTCTTCTCTTCTACTGTAATGTCTATGGTACAATTAAGACAGTATCATAAACCAAACCTAATGCTTAGAATGCTAAAATCCTCATGAAACGTGTTGTCAAAAATACAGATCAGCGTAGTCATCGAGTACATGATCTCAGGGGAATGCACTCCATGTTTGTTACTTAATATTTTCCTGCACATTCTTTTTATTGTGGTAAGAGTATGTATTTCCCATTTCTGCAATCTTTACATGTGCCATTTAGTACATTTCTTTATTTAATGGATTTTACAATCAAGCCTTTTGCACGGCATGAAAAACAAGTAGTGGGCGCATGGAGACAGAAAGCTCTGTATTTTATGCAATTGCTGGAGCAGTAAAACTTGGCTTGCATTTTAAAAGCAGCCACAACAAATTGTAAGAAATTGTGAGTTCAGACAGGAAAGAAAAGTAGAAGAAAGAGAGAGTACTTTAAAGAGTAAATGGAAAATTTTTTAAATGGATTTCTTATACAGAGCCCACTACCCAATTTCCGTTCTGGTCAATAGAACTTTATTATCAAGGAGAAGCAAAGTTCAGACAGTTCACAGCTAGAGAGATGCCCACCCTTGGCTTAGCAACATGGATAGGGAGTTGCCAGAGGTTCGGGCTGGAGTCAGAAGAGGACGTGGAACAAAGTTATCATCGCCGATGTCAGATGGATCGTGGCTCAAAGCAAAGTACCAGAAAGATGTTGACTTATGTTTCATTGACTGTGCAAAGGCATTCACCCGTGTGGATCATAACACACTGGATAATCTTCAGAAGAATGTGAGTTCCGGAGCACTACATCGTGCTCAGGTGGAACTTGAACATGGATTAAGGGGCAGGTGTTCGAACAGACCAACGTTTCAAAGCTGCATGGTTTAAAATCAGGAAAGGTGTGCATCAGGCTTTAATAATAGAATTGAATAAGTTGAATAATAGAATTTTTACTGTAGTAAATATGGAACGTTGGATAATAAGATTGAGTGAGTCAAGTGTGCTGAACTGTTTTCATTATTTTCCTCTGTGGCGCCCATGTAAATAAATGTCCATAGTTTGTATCTGAAACCCCAGAAGCCAATTTGTGCATTTTAGAAAGTTAGCTATGGTGCGTACATGTTCTTACATATCTAACCATTAGAGTCTGGAGTGACACCCTGTAATGTAATTCACATTAATATTTCTGCGGCAAAACATTTAATTATTCTCAATAGTGAGAATAAACAAAGATCATAAACAATATCATCCTATGAGTCAGCCATTGCTTGCAAATGAACTGTGAAAAACTCAGTTTTTCAGTGTTTTGGGGGGACTTGGGGATTAGGGACAAGTCATTGACTGTTGCGTTTGCTATTGTTTCTAATTACCCTTCTTAAGATGTAGAGAAGACGGGGACGTGATCAGTGTTTTAAACCTGCTCTTCTCTGACAGGACAAGTATCTCCACACAAATTGCTTGGCAGCTTTAGCAAATATGTCGGCCCAGTTTCGCTCTCTCCATCAGTATGCTGCCCAGAGGATCATCAGGTAAATATGAACCTTAGAAGAAAGCCCGGACTGGTTTCCTCCTTGTAAACTCATTGTGCAGGATCTTCTGGTGGTCTCCGCTACAGTATTACCTCGAGCAATGTCAGTTTTCCTTGATGAATTCTTACAACTTTCTTGCTTGGTTGAGATATCTTGGTTTGTTTTCTACCCTAGCTTTGAAATGATAATGAATTGTATCTACTTTTTGCCTTTTGATAGAATCTGAGACTTTGTGTATCAGCTCTTTATGGTGCAGTATTTGTATTTCTTAGTTGCTGTTCAATAACTTTATTTTCCCAGCGTTTTATAGCACATCATCAAACTTTTAAGGAGTTATCTGTGTGGTTAAAAATTGGCATACGCATCAACATTTGTTATTTCCTGTTCATTTTTAATCTTAGCCATCTAGTGGGAATGACGTGTTTCCTCTCTGGGATTTTGATTTGCATGTCTCTAATGGCTAATGAGCATTTTTGCGTGTGCTTGTTTGCTATTTAACTATCCTCCTTGGTGGAATGTTTATTCAAGTTTTATTTGTCCATTACTGGATAGCATGATTTATTTATTTTTCTTGTTCAGTTGTAGAAGTTTTAGATGAGGGGCTTTTCGAGAATTCATAGAAAAATCCTATTATCTTTTTAAAAATTCATTTTATTGGGGGCTCTTACAGCTTTTATAACATTCCATACATCACTTGTTTCAAGCATATGTGTGCATATGTTGCCACCATCAGTTTCTAAACACTTTCCCTGTTATCTTTTCATTCGGTTTTTTGAACTTTTTTTGAAACCCCCTGGTATGTATTTTGGATATTAAACCTTTATAGGCCTGAACTTTTTCTTCCAATCCATAGATTGCCTTTTTACTTTTAAAAAAATGCCCTTTCATGAACAAAATCACTTACTTTAGTGAGGTCTCCTTTATTGGTTTTGCCCTCTGCCTCCCATGACTTTGTCACGTCTGACAATTCCTTGTTGTAGACAGCCCTGCAGTCACATCCCTCTACTTCTAGGAATTTGAGGTTTTAGTTTTACATTTAAGCCTTTGTCCATTTTGAGCTGGTTTTAGACTGTGACAGGCAGCGTGGATCCTGACTGCTCCTCCTGCATGTTGGAATTCAGGTTTCCCAGCATCATTTATTGAAGGTTCTCTTCTTCCTTTCTCTTAAATAGACTAGAACCCTTGTCGGAAATCCGTTAAGCATAGATGTCTGGGTTTATTGATGGACCCAAAATCCTAAGCCCCGTTGGCCTCTCTCTGTCTGCTGTTACCAGTTACCTGCGTGTTGTGATCCCCATAGCTGAGTCGTCGTTTTTGAAATCAGGAACTCTCGATCCTTCCTCCTCCTTGGTTTTCCCACAAAATTCCTTTGGCTCATTGGGTGTTCTTCCCATTCCATATGAGGCTGAGGATTGGCGTTTCCTTTGCTGTATGCCATGATTGCATTGAATCAACAAACTGCTTTGGGTCGCATTGTTACCATAACTGTATTAAGTCTAATACTCCGTAGCTTTAGAGTGTCTTTCTGTTTGTTTACTGTTGCTTCATCTCGGTCAGCAGTCCACGTCTAAGTGTTTCATTTATAAAGAACAACAAACATATCAAATCCCCAATTAAAAATTGGGCAAAGGGCTTGAGCCGCTGTTTCTCCAAAGAGGATAAACACATGACCAAACAATGATGTGCAAGTATGTTTAGCTCATTCATTAGCAGGAAAGCACGGGTTAAAATCACAAGGAGATACCACTTTAGACCCACAAGGGTGACCATTAAAGACAGACAGACAGACATTAACAAGAGTTGGTGAGGCTGTATGGTGCTGGAACCCTTGTGCATTGCTGATGGGAATGTAAGATGATTTATCAGCTATCGAAAAGTTTGTTCCTCAACATGTTAGGCACTTAATTATCATATTATGTAATAATTCCATTCCTAGGTATAAACCTCTGAGGAACTGAAAATAGGTACAAAACCAAATATAGGTATACACAAGTTCATAGAAACATTATTCACAATAGTCCAATGATGGAAACCACTCTATATGCCCATCAGGGAATTAATCGGTAATATTTGGCTACACATACCAAAATACACACAATAAAACACAAACCATGAAGTATTTTTCCGTCATAAAAATGAATGAAGTGCTAATTCATGCTATAGTGTGGATGGATCTTGAAAAAAATTATATATATATATATATATTTATAAATCATTTTTATTGGGGCTCTTACAGCTCCTGTAACAATCCATAAATCCATTGTGTCAAGCACATTTATTTGTACATATGTTGCCATCATTCTTTTCAAAAAATTTTCTTTTTTCCTTGAGCCCTTGGTATCAGCTCCTCATGAAAATATTTTTGCTGAGAGGACAGAAAGATGTATCATCCCAGTGATAGGGAACAGCTGAGTCCACAAGGCCAGCGCACGGGCTGGTGGTTGCCTGCTCTTGGAAGAAGAGGGATGGGGATCAGTTGTTGAGTGGGTGCAGGGTTTCCATTCAGAATTTGGAAAATGATTGGGAACTAGATAGGGATAATAGTTGCACAACCTTGGGAATGCCAAGGAAATTTTCGCTTCATTTTTAAATTTTTAATCAGTTTATCAAGAGCTCTTACAGATATCATAACATTCCATAGTTCAGTCACATCCAGCAAAATCGTACAATTGCTACCACAATCGGTTTCCAAACATTTTCTTTCTTCTTGAACTCCTCCTTGGTATCAGCTTCCCTTTATCCCCTCCCTCCCCCGCCCTACCCGCCAGGAACCCTTGTTTGTTTCTTCCCTATAATAGTGTGTGTGTGTGTGTGTGTGTGTGTGTGTGTACCTGCCGTATCTTACACAATCCAATATATCCAGAAATTTTCACTTTAAAATGGTTAGGCTTTGTTGTTGTATAAATTGAATCTCAATTAACAACTGAGCACAAAAGATTCTTGCCCTCAAGTAGCTCAGAATTCGGCAACACGGCCAGTTCAAGGGCCAACATGTCTTGTATGTAAAACACAGTGGTAAATGTTTTAGAAAGAGAATTCCAGTGGGCATGAGTGGTTGGTTCAGAAAATGGTGCGGTCTCAGTAGTCCAAAGGATGGAAAGGGTCCATATGCCCTTGGGGGTGGGAATCCACACAAACAGTGAAACAGACTTCAGCCATCTGCTTTGTGCCACCGTGTGGATGCACTGAGCGGTCAGATAAGATGCTTGAGGGATAGCTTTAGGGACGGCCTGATGGAAGGGACCGCATCCTCGAGAAGGGATGGCTGTGACCTCTAGAAAGTGGCTCACGTCATTCAGTTGCCCTGCATGTGACCGGGCAGTAGGAGAGAACCCAGTTGAGCCAGCACTCAGGTGCTGGCACCAGGGGCCTTCACTACTTGATTCAAAGTGTAGCACAGAGAGGACTGACGGTTATCCTCAGCAGCAACAGCAACTGTGTGGGGATGAATAGCAAATCGATTTTACTGAAACAGAGGGTACAGTTCTGGAATGACCCATGTCACGGGTGAACTGAGTATGCTGTACATGCCAGGCTCTATCAAGTCCCCAAGCGCTGCCAGCGCTGAGGTCCGTGGACTGCGGCGAGGGCAGCCAGGGTAGGTCCGCACATCCGATGACAGGCCCGTCAGCGAGGAGGGCCTGTCAGACGCAGCTTCAGACCCACTGAGTGGCAATCTTCCTTTTAACAAGATCGCCAGACGGCTTGCCTTATACACATTAAAATGTGAAAAGTCTATTGGTTTGGGCCTGAAAATGCAAATGTGTTCCCTGGGAAAGCACTAGTTTTCAGTGGAAATGTGGGCCACCCTTTTCTGTCTCCTGAGGGTGCTCACTTTTCTGCGAAGCAAGTGTGTTTAGGGTGTAGACTGTAAAATGCGATAAGGAACGCATTAGCACACGCATTAGCAGACACACCGGAGCTGGGTGATAGCAGAGCAACCTAGGATTCAGCCGATGCGTCGCTGACTCCTGAGAGTGAGAGGTGTACATTTTCCCAAACCCTCTTGTAGGAACACAGTTTGGTATCTGTCAGTTGCAAATCCTCGAGCCAGTCTTTCAACTGACGGTCAACAAAATGCAAAACCAGCGAACCTCTTTTTCCTGAGTGTGGTGAAAGTAGGGTTTGAATAATGCTTCTGACGTACCTTTATATGTAGCTGGACATACATGTGGGAAAGGTTGTTTGGTTTTTGGTTTTTATGGTATCTAAGCTATTTGATGTTTAATTCCAATCTGTCTTCCGCAAACCCGTACAGCCCTGGAGAAATCATGGATCAATCTGATTTGGGTTCTGCTCAACGACAGTCTTTTGAGTAAGATCTAAGCAAGGGTATTTGGTGTGATCATTACTTTGGATTAAGAAGCTAATAGATGTAATTTAAAATATGTCTAAAGAGTAGATGGTATGCAGGGACTGCTGTGGCTTCAACGCTGTCATTGCTGACTTCTTGGCCTGTTTTCTCTTGGGTCCGCCCCTGGCTCCTTCCTCTGGCTTCTCCTTCACAGAGCGTTCCTCCAGTATTCCACCCTAGGTGCTTTTTCCCTCTCTCCCACCCACTTCTAGACACAGAGGTCCATCTAGATCTGTAGCTGCAATCTAGGTACGTCTGGGTCTAATTGGAGTAGCACAGTGTAGTTGCTGAAAACACACACTCCTTAGCCAGACGGGCGGGGGGTAGGGAAAGGGAGGATCTCAGCCCTAAAACACCCGAGTTCTAAAGCCTTAGCAACATGCCACCTTCTTGCCAGCTTATTTGATTCCTCTGTAATAATTAACGTGTCTTTGTCCAGTGCCTAGGTAGTCAGAAGGTTTCAGCCTTACAGAAGCGGACTGCTGCCTCTGTCCGACCAGCAGAGCCGCTAGTAGCTTCAATTACTTTGGTAGGCAGCTGAGTGCTTTAACTTGTACAGCCTGTGAGATCCCCCAGGATTCTACTGAGAGTCGTTGATGCAAAGTTGAAAGTGTATGGGTACCTAGGTGAACACTTCTAAGTATCC